TTGTAATCCACTAATAATCAATGTGCCAAACGGCAGATTTGACCATGGTCATGCCACCGCATCAGAACTTTCGATATTTTCTAACCATCATCGCTCGTTTTTGTCGCTGGCCGAAAACACTTTCACTGATGAAACGATTATTATTTTTCTTTTTATTCATTTATTTATTCAAGGTCGACAAAAACGAGTGTCTTCTAAATTATGCAATGCATCACATTAAACAAATTAAATGTTATATGCCTTATTAGAATACACAATATTCTAATGGCATCACCGACCTTGTCCGACAAGCTATGCCCCTGCTCATAGCTGGGACAAGTAAGTTTCCGAAGAAAATGCTTCTGAACAGATTCAATACGATCCTAGCTATTTTTATACTGAGGAGACCAAAGGAAGTAAGAGAGATATACAAAAGTTTCCTTATAAAAGAATTGTTACCTCTTTTGGCCATCGTTTAATAAATCCAAGTACACCTTTGGTCTCATTAATATTCAAAAAGAACGCCTAGATTCTTAACTGTTAGATATGTGTTGTACGATTGAAGGTCATAAACATACACTTTGAACAATTTAGATGCAATTCATTGGCCACACATCGAACTTGCGTTTCATTTTCAATGGGTTCAGGGTATAAAAATATTCACTACGAATTCGCCGCATTTGTCTCCTCTGTTCAACATGGATTCGTAGAGAATCGGCCAGTTCCCACCCATCTGCTAGAATTAAACTATGGTATATTATACTTTTCTTACTTAAATGCAAACTGACGTCCCTCAGGATTTATAAATAATCTTCTCCTTTTATAAATGGTCTCCTTTCGGTTATCACATGCTTGTGTACTTATGTACGAAGAAGGGATGGAGGGAATTGAGTTCGGAATACAAACATCTAAGATGGAGTTCAGTGTGTTATGAAAAATTAAATAGGACGAGTCATATATGTCCAATTGGTTTAAAGAATATGTTGATTAAGCAATGAATAGTTTTCTTTGCAAAAGCAACAGTGGTGCTTATTGGTAGCTTGTGAATGAAAAATAAGAGAATTGAAACTGAGCAATGCAACCTCTAAGGTAGGATGACACGTAAGATAATCGTTGAGAAATACAAGATCAGAACACTTGATCTTATATTAAACTTGATCTTATATGTGTCAATAATAAGCAATTGAATTGTTTTGAAAAAAAGGAAGGTCTAACATGAAATCTATAAAGTCATGCTGTACTGAGGGTACTAGATAATTTTCGCAGTAAATAATGACCAAGACATGTTCAGTAAATTAAAATCACCTTACACCATAAATAGGTCATTATCAGGAACATGTGAAGAAACTTCTTTAAAACAATTAATATGTTTCCTATAAACTTGAATATCAGAAGAAAGAAGAACATTGGAGCATCTAATATAAAGGAAAAAAAAGACACCTTAACTGAGACAATGTCAGCGTCAGTAGGCAAAACAGAAAGCGTTTGAATGGAAAATGGCTTTACCGGCAATAAATACCCTCGAATCGGCCGATCATTTTTATGCAAAATAAAATTTTTCCTAAAAACTTCAAAATTATATACAGTTAAAATTAACCGTGTGTCCGAATATGCAGTTATATCCGATTCGAAGGAAGTGCTAGCCATGAAAAGATTTTTAAGCTTAGAAATGAAACCTCAGCCATTCAGGTAACAGGCGGAAGGAAGCATCTCCGACCCCATAAAGTATATATATTCTTGATCAGCATCAATAACCGAGTCGATCTAGCCAAAGACAATATAAACACTAAGATAAGTAACGCCCATACATTTGAATGCGACGCAAAATTTCTAGCCTGACCTTTCATCTGGCGTTTGAGGCTTCGTACGGCATGCCTGCCGACTGGTTGTTCGTTCTCCAAAGACCAGACGAACGAATGCCGAAGTCGCGGCTTGCTGATGCTGACGAGCTACGAAGTTAGTCGACAGCCTGCCTTCAGCAAAGCTGGTCGATGCTGCTTTGCGTCGCTTCGTTTTCGCAGTACAATGAGCGAAAAACGTTAGAACTTACGATCGACGCAAAGTGCTTGTGCTTTATTCATGAAATGCATGCTTTATTTAAATGATATATTACCCTAGATATTAACAAATAATTTTACAGGAAAATTAAAGAAATTACATAATTTTTACAGAAGGCGCTTCTTGCGCAATAACTATGTTAAGAAAACAGCACACATATATTGAGTTCACCTTTCTTTTTGGACAGTGTATGCCCGAAAAAAGTTCTTGTCTCAGCCAATAGCGTGCGTGCAACTTTCGTTGTATGCGTGAATTATACATGCATAAGAACTTTAAAGTATGTATGTATGTGTTGTTATTTACTGCTCTGGCTTTAGCTGGCAAGAAATTAATTTTGTTAGTTTTGTACCGCAGATCATGACCTATCCCAAATTTATGTTGATATATTAATGCATTTTGTGTACTGAGGTCGGCTCCGCAGAAAATATGTATTTTTAATTCGATGCAAATATTTACATAATTTGTTTAAATTAAATTATTATTATTTTTATTCTCCAATTAAGAAATAAAAAGAGTGATAAAGAATATAATTACATTTCAAGTCGATTCGAAGATCATATTTAGCTATGACCCCATTATAATTATAATGGCCTCCTCGCGGTGTTCCCTGGGTACCGATTTTGCATTGGTAGCTAATTCGAGAATCGACTTTGTTCTTTATAATTCGAACAAAAATTAATAAAATAAAAATTTAAATTACAACAAATTTGCACTTTTATTTCCTTAATTTATTGTGTATAACTTAAAAATAATAATAATTTAATTAATAATTTCAAATATAAAAAATTACATAAATTTTGCATCGGCTTAAAAATACATATTCTGTTCGGAGCCAACCTCAGTACACAAAATACATTCATATATCAACAGAAATTTTGGGTAAGTCGTGATCTGCGCTAAAAACCTAAGAAAATTCTTTCTTTGCCAGCAAGAGACTTTGCCAGAGCAGTGGATAACAACACATTCATAATTGCTTGCACGGCCCTCATAGAGCCGAAGCCTAGAGCAAATTCTATTTTTAGCTTTTTCGTTCTCTCGGCTGTGAGAGCGCAAGGCTACAGATTTCGTTTTCGTTCTCAATTTTCAAAAAATCAAGCTGCATAGTAGCATTTTGTTGTATGGCGTTACTCACCTTAGTGTTTATATTGTCTTTGATCTAGCCATGTCCGTATGTCTGTCTGTCCGTCTGTCCGTATTTATGAACGCAAGGATCTCAGAAGCTATAAGAGCTAGAGACTTGAAATGTTAGATGTAGGTCCTCCTAGTGCCTGCGCAGATCGAGTTTGTTTCCTATAATCGATAACTTACTCCGTTTTCAAGCAATCGATAAAAATCGATATCGATATTCTGTTTTTTGAGCAAATTGGGTAAATAATAAGAGCTAAAGTCACCAAACATTATTTGGTGCTTCTCGAATATTATATATATGTCAAGTATCTTTCATTTTATTCCTATCTTTACCTCCCCGCTACCATCCTAGAACTATAAATCAAGTTAATAACCCAAATTTTATTGCCAAGCAATTTAAATATAAATAATAAATAATTTAAATACATTTGACTTTTTCAGTATGCATAAATATTTTATGGTACAATAAGATATACTGTAGAAAATTTCATAAAGATCGGTTAAGGAAAAACCAAAGTTATATGCAACTGCGCAATTGAATGGGGCAGCAGCTTTAAGAATTTCTGTATACATGTACACACACACATTCATGCGCGTCTGCTTGCATTCTAACAGCATGGTAATTGCGGCTTTTTTCTGTAATGTTATTTTAGTTCCTTTTTATCATAAGAACTTAATTATTGTCGTGGTTGCTGAGTAGAGGTATAGCAAGTGGTGCGGTCTGTCGCGAGTTCGAGCCCTACCGGGGAAAGTATTATTATTTTTTTTTTTTTTTGCTGGTGTGGCTGTTGAGTAGAGTCGACAGTAAGTAATGCGGTTGCAAATTCAAGCCCTGCCAAGGGAACTTTTTTTTATTAATTTATTTGGTGTTGGAATAAGAGGGTTCATGGTAATCCCTAGTCGGGAGCTCCCGGCTAGAACCTCTTACTTGTTCTAATTTTTTTTTTACTTAGGTTGACACTTGGTTTGTCAACTATTAATCAATAAATAAGTAATTGAAATTTAATGAAAGTATTTGAATTCGGTACACAAATAGTTTATAGTCGTATACAAAATTTAAAACTTTAATAATCTCAAGAAAGTTACATTGACATTATAAACACATGAAAACACTTATCTAAAAAACCCGAAATCAGTTAACCTTGACATTCACCTTTGAATCGTCTCATATTTCAAAGCATATTTACATATATGTGTACATACTTATGTATTATATGTATACTAGAGCGGCTTTTCTCAAAAATTTTCGTTGGGTCAGCTTACGAGCATCATACCGTGTAGTTTGGTTCATAAACCTGGTCATCTACATACATAATCACAGATTTTGGCCTAAACATTTTCAAAATGTTAATAAAACAATTCAGTTTAAAAATATTATCTTCCTTTCTACTGAAAATATTTTAATAATGATAGTGTCGGCTATATTTATTCTGTGCCTAAGAATGGCATCTAACCTATCTGCGGTTACGACCGTATTGCAGCAGGATTCTTTAACTTAATCCACTTCCCCCTTCGTTGGCGAACTGTAGGACAGTCTTTGGCGTTGTCTTCCTGCATAAGATTATTATTGGTTAAATTGATTTTATTTTCTGCTTACGCCAAATGTACAAGAAATGATTGCCATTTATTTCTTCCTACAATTATAATAGATTATACCATGTGTTCTCCATAGAACTATCCTAACACTAATAAAATCGTTGTTTTTAGTATATAGTAAAACCATTTCCAGCTATAAATAAGGGCATAGCTTGCCGGACATGCTATACATTTTCAGAACCAGGTTGGTGATTTTCGATCCCTATCTGTGTACCCCATGAACTAAACAATATAGCCTATTTCTATTTTTTTTTTCTTTATTACTTTTGTCTCCTTCTTTTCTTACATAGGTTTTGTCCAGCAATTATAAATAAATAAATTTGTCCCTATACAATCATGGTTTCCTTTAAAAATAATGATTAAGAATTACGTTTAGCGTATACCAATTTTGAATTATTTAATATTAGAAGCTACAGTGGAAAAAACTCAAGAAAGTGACATTGACATTATATACACATGAAAACACCTATCTAAAAATAATCCGAAATCAATTAACCTTGACATTCACCTTAGAGTCACATTTCAAAGCAGATTTACATATGTATTTGTGTACATATGTATCATATGTATACTAGAGCGGCTTTCCTCAAAAATTGTCGTTGGGTCGGCTTACGAGCATGCCGTTTGGTTCATAAACCTGGTTTTCCACATTCATAAACACAGGTTTTGGCTCAAACATTTTCAAAATATAAATAAAACAATTCAGTTTAAAAATAATATTTCCCTTTATAAGTACTAAAAATATTTTCATAAAGTTTAGAGTAAACTTATTCCTTTATCCAAGAATGGCATCTATAAAATGTGATTAAATCATTCCAATGGTGGGAGCTCAACCGTATTTGCTTTGGGATTGTCTCTTTCCTCGATCCCGAAACTATTCATATTTAACGATAAAAAACATATACATAAATTTCAAAACACACACAATAAAATGTTAATATAAATATGTTAATAATATATATGCTAATATACATGTTAATAATAACATGCTTTTTACAGAACTCAACACAGGCGCGCATTAATGTTGAGTGTATGTTTTAATGTACATACATATTTTCTTGCAATTTGCTAGCTGGCTCAAGCATGTAGCTAGTCAATAGCCTATATCAAAGTTTTCTCAAAAAATTGGTGTTTCATAACCGATCTTGTCAAGTTTAGGGACTCTTGTTATTAAAAACTATTTCGGTATCGATTTTGATCGAATGCTTGGAAGCGGGCAAATTATCGATTATCGGAAATAAATAAGTAATGCTCGGGCATAAGTAGGCCCAACGTTCCAAACTACTCTTGCCCTTAGAGGTTCTGAAATGCTTGCGGTCATACACACGGAACTATGGACAGCCAGACTGACATGGCTATTGATGCTGATTAATAGAATTAAGAATTAATACTTTGTGGGGTCAAATATGCTTCCTTTCGCCTGTTACATACATTTGCACAAATACCCATTACCCGTTTATAAAGGGTTCAGAGTTTAAAAGGCTAATAATTAGATTTGAAAATAAAATTATATTTTACTTGTGCTCCGAAATTTGTATATATTTTTGTAAATTTTGCATTTTTTTGTACTGTTGCATGGAAGTCGCTAGTAGTTATCGATACATCGGTATGCACCCTAGAGCGCCACAAATCTCACAGGGGTGGCACGGCCTAGCTTAGGATCCACTGACTTCAGCGAAAAAAAAAGTAGGAGAGCACAGGGCACCCGCCCGCCCGATTTGCTCGTAGGGTAATGAATGGAAATTTGCCCTTTATAATGTACATGCCGATCGTGCCTATGGGTAGCAAAGGCTAAATACGTCAGTGTATGGGTACGCAAATTAGGGCATAAGTGACATTGCTGCGCGATAGGGGAGTCAATTTTCAAAGGCGCTGCACGATAGTCGGCCACCCAAGACACAAATAACCGAAAAGTTTTAAAACTTTTAAAAATGATAATATATTTAACTGACAATCGAACTCAACTTAACGTGTACAGAATGCTGCCCATAAAAAATAAACTGCTAGTGTAAACTAAGTTGTGAAGAGGTACAGAAATTTAAAATTTAAACATACATGGGACACGCAACGAATGTAGAAAGCTAAGCTAACCATTAGAAGAAAAAATTCGTGTCGTGCACAAAAAATGTATTGCTCAGTCCAGCCTCAAAATTATCAGTTCAGCAAAAAAATCTTTGAAATGCATATTCCACCGAAAAAGTTTAGATTTTTCAAAAAGTGTGAAACACGTTTCGAATGATTTTTATGTAGATCCTTGGAAATGAATTTGAGGGCGAAACGTCACCAACCAAATCTATGTCCCCCAGTTCCGCCAAGAAGAAATAAATTTTTTTAAAAATGTGCAAAACACCCCTAAAATAAATTAGAACAAATTTCTTCGAAAATGAGTTTGAGGATGATCGGATAGTAAATAAGTTTCATACAACAATTTTTCGCTATTTACCCACTAGACTAGGGGAATTTCCCAAATCGCTGAAATTGAATTTATCGGACAGAACATAAAACTGCACCTCCTTCACATAAGGAGGGCTACAGGGCTTCCTAGCTCCTACGGTTTGGGCTGTGCGTTGATTACCAATCAGTCAGTCAGTTAGGACAAACAGTTTTATATATCGCTCAATTTAATATATATAACGTTCTTTTCCACGTTGTTCCCGGCGGCAATTGACCCTAGCTTTCAGTGACGTCTTTTCTTTGTTGTTGCTCTGCAAAAAAGGAAATTTAGAAATGAATATGAACTGTCAACAACCATTAGTATACCTGTTGAAGTTGAAAGAAGTTTTCGCTTGCATGAAATTATATATGTTGTTCTGTAAAAAGATAATAAAATAAGCTATAAGACCAACTGTGTACAATTATTAGATAAAAACAAGTATAGTACGCACCTGTTGAAGAGCTGAACACAAATGCCAGATTTTACCAACAATTATTACTTTTAAGAAAATACAAAGTACATACTGAAAGAGAGATATGTCCTGCTAAACTTCTATTGATGGGGAGAGGGGACATGACAGCCGACACGGACTGATGATCAGGTAGGGCGGGTACGCCGGGTCCAAAACCGGAACCCGATCATGAGAAATAAAGTGGATCAAGAGTGTTTTTTTATTGTTAATTTATGTCAGCGTCTCACCATGGTTGTTAACATTTTACTATGAGTTCCAGCTATTTAATGCTTATTGATTTTGCAGTTCGTTTTGGACAGTGTTGTGTAGGTCTGTTTTGCTTCAGATGTTATAGTTTGTTGATACCGATTGTGCGAACTGTGGGACAGGGATGGGACTACATCCAGAGAACCGATAGCCAGCCAGCACGGCCCAAAGAGAAACAAACAGTCACATAACAGTACCTAATTTAAAAGACCTTTTGTAAACAAAATGCGTTCTATTGTACTGCGTAAATTTTTAATTATTGCATTTATCAACCGCGGCAGGTCCCCACCTAATCGCCGGTAAAAATTAGAATTTTTGAATGTGTCTTCTATGGCTGACCAAGCACTTTTGGCTGTTCCTAGCAACTTCGATTTATCTTCAATGTCGTCGTTATTGACTTTCTATTTAGCCTGTTGTTGGTCCTCAAAAGCAAATTTGTTTAGACACTAATTGCGTTTCTATCTCCAAATTTGATTCCGCCATTCCTCGTGAAATATAAGCATTCACAATTGATGTTACCAATGATTAGTTCCCTATAATTTGTGATCCTAAACCCAACCGTTCCATGTCACAAAAATTAATGCGTCCTTAAAAAAATTTCCATTTTAAGAAGGCCAGAGGCCTTTCAAAATCTTTTTATAGCTGACTAGAATATTGTCGCTTTATCCGAAATATGGTTAAATTCATCAAACTTGTTTATTAGCAGCTTATTCAGTTTTTTTAAAACATTTGCTTGTGGAGTATTGCCATTAAGACTTTCTCCAACTCATAATATTTCTGTGTTATTACACCTACTGATGCAGTTAAAGTTACTCTCCCATTATACGATATATATACATTTATTTGGTATTCAAGTTTGCTTAAAACCTGTTAAAGAAGTGTTTACACATGTCCGGTATTTATCTTGCAATTTTAATTAACCGAACATGCTGTGACCATTACCAGGAAAAATAGCACAACTTTTCAGATTACAAGCTAAGCCTTTCGTTGTTTAAAGAAGAATTTCATGTGTTCGATATAGCTTTCGCATTGTAAGATTGAGTTATGTTCGAGTATTGACTTGGCTAAATACTTCATGGCCAATGATAAACAAGTAAGAGGTTCTAGTCAGCAGCTCTCGACCAGGGATTACCCTGAACCATCTTAATCCAACACCTAATATATTAAAACAAGTAACAAGATACCCTGAACCCCCTTCCATCAACATCAAATGCATATATATATTTTATTTTAGAAGTTATATGTCAAGTTTGGTGACTCTAGCTCTTATTATTTACCAAAATTGCCAAAAAAAACAACATATATATTCTTGATCAGCACCAATAGCCGAGTCGATCTAGCCATGTCCGTCTGTATGTCCGTCCGTCTGTCCGTATGTATGAATGCAAGGATCTCAGAACCTATAAGAGCTAGAGATGTAGGTTCTCCTAGTTCCCGCGCAGATCGAGTTTGTTTCCGATAACCGATAACTTACTCAGTTTCGATAAAAATCGATATCGGTATTCTGTTTTTTGAACAAATTGGGTAAATAATAAGAGCTAGAGTCACCAAACATTATGGGTTGCTTCTGGAATATTATATATATGTCAAGTATCTTTCATTTTATTCCTATCTTTACCTCCCCGCTACCATCCTAGAACTATAAATTAAGTTAATAACCCAACTTTTACTGCCCACCAATTTAAATATAAATAATTTAAATGCATTTGACTTTTTCAGTATGCATAAATATTTTATGGTACAATAAGATATACTGTGGAAAATTTCATAAAGATCGGTTAAGAAAAAACCAAAGTTATATGCAACTTCGCAATTGAATGGGGCAGCAGCTTTAAGAATTTCTGTATACATGTACACACAAACATTCATGCGCGTCTGCTTCGCATTTTAACAGCATGGTTATTGCGACTTTTTTCTGTAATGCTATTTTAGTTATTTTTTAAGTACTTAATTATTGGTGTGGCTGCTGAGTAGAGGCATAACAAGGGGTGCGGTCAGTTGCGAGTTCGAACCCTGCCAAGGGTTTTTTTTTAATTTATTAGGTGTTGGAGCTCCCGACTAGAACCTCTTGTTTATTCATTTATAGTTTTGTTTGTCTCATTCTGTTAAGTTTGAGTGTGTGAATGACCGGGTTTACAAGAGCTTCGGAGGCAGGTGACCCAGTGATGTAGAATCGAGCCTGCGCCGCATCTGTCACAGAGCATATCCCAAGAACGGTCGGAAGAGCGACGGGGACTGATCTTGCTGTAGTGTTCATTAACAGGGAGTTTTCTTGTTGCGGTTGTGGACATTACTGTTAGAGTTTGTTTATTGTTTACTATTTGTTTTGTCTCACCTTGGGTATGCGTTTGGTGTATACGGGCCGTAGTTATATGATCTTCTGAGCCAAGTGACCCACGACGATATAGATTCGATCCTGCGCCTGTCACACAGCATGTCCTGGAGGTGTCCAGAAGTGTGACAGAAACATAATAGCCTTGAAGGTAGCGTTCTTTGGATGCCGTTCGTCAGTTAAACTGACGAGCTGAGCATTTGCCGAACCTCTTAATGTTGTCCTCTCTCCAGTGCGTAAATAAGTTAACCTTTGCTAGGATTTGCGGAAAGGCGGACACATTCTGTGCGTTATTCTGTGGGTTAGCCCAGAATCTCGCGTATTCGCCAAAGTGGAGGTCGCTGGAATCAAAATGTGAGGGTTGCTAGACACCGGAGCCTCGTTCAGCCTGCTGGGGAAAGGCGGTCGAGAGTTAGTAGAAGAGTTAGGAGTGCAACCGCATGTTTCGGTAGTCACGACCGCTGGGGAGAAGGATAAATCAATCATAGGTAGGGTAGAGCTCCTAATCTTGTACAGGGAGCAGCATAAAAGCATAATGTTTTTTATCTGCCCCTATCGGAAACGGCGAACCTATTTTGGAATTGATTCGGAACACCAAGGGAAAGAGCTCTTGGCAGTGTTGATGACACACTATGCGGAAGAGGACGAGGAATGTAAAAATGAGCCAGATTAATGGGAGTTGTCTTGGGAAGAAAGGATAGAGTTGTTGGCAGTAAAGCAGGGGTTTTTGTGTTTTGAGCGCAGCGGATAAGGAACGACTGACTCAGAGAAGCACACTATTGACTTAGTGGAAAGTGCCGTTCAACAGTTCAAAGATAGACCCTACCCATTATCGTCAGCGATGCGGAAAGTAGTGGATGGTGGTTTCAAGGTTATAGAAGAGTGCAACAGGCCATGTAGTAACCGCACAACCGTAGTCGGAAGACCGGGGAAAAACCCTTTTGGCCTCGATGCACGCAAGCTCTATATATTGATGATGAAAGACGCGTATCCATTACCCTGTATAGATGGCATACTATCTAAAATAGACCAGACCCACTACATGTCCAGTGCGGATCTGAAGTGAATATAAGTTACTAAATAGTAACTATAGTTTATTATCTATAATTATTCGCTTGGTAAAGATCAGAAGGCACTGATCGATTCCAGCGCACAAATAAAATATATGAAAAAAAAAGATCTGAAGTTCACGTATTGGCAGGTCGAACAAGACAACGCCATATACCGCATTTACCGTATCAGGTAGACGGCTTTACCAGTTTTGCGTATTGCCGTTTGGCTTATGCAATACAGCCAATACAGTCTAGTTCGTCTGAAGGACAAGGTAAGTCCCAACGATTTGCGGGCCAACGTCTTTGTATATTTGCAGGACTTATTAGTTATTTTCCCTGTTTTCCCAACGCACTTGAAATATTTGCGACAAATGGGCAAATGCTTAAGAGATGCCAAACTCTATATCGGACTGCAAAAATTGAAATTTTGCTTCTGGGCATTAAAATACCTAGGAATCATTATTGGTGGTGGCACGCCTTGCATGGACCCCGAACGGGCTATAGGGTTGCTACCGGCGCTTTATGCGAGATTTCGCGCCAATGGCCGCCCCACTGACTGAAATGCTGAAAAAGGATAACGGAAAGTTTGTATTGAGTGACGAGGCAACACGAGCCTTTGAACATTTTAAGGCCGCCCTAACCATGGTCCCAGTACTGGTGCACGCGGATTTTTTCGAACCCTTTTTTGTGCAGTGCGATGCGTCTCAGTTTGGGGTGGGAGCGGTATTATTTCAAAAGGACACTGAAGAGCAGGAACGACCCATAGCCTTCTTTTCAGCCAAGTCGAACAAACACCAACGGAATTATTCCGACACTGAAAAGGAGTGCTTAGCGTCGATAATGGCCATAAAAAAGTTCAGACCCTATACAGAAGGGCTGGCGTTCACCTGCATCACGTACCACAACAGCCTAAAATGGCTGATGACCATGAAGGACCTGAGCGGGAGACTAGCACGTTGGACATTGCAGATGCAAGGCTACGACTTTACCATCAAGCACCGTTATGGCAGTGAGAACGTAGTAGCCGACACCTTATCGCCCGTTACGGAAACCCTTCTTGAGTTTGAGACCACCGAGCTTGACTCGGAGGAATATCAGGCCTTGCTCGAACAAGTACATTCGAATCAGGAGGAATCAGAATCTAAAAGTTGAAGGGAATTTACTTTTCAGGCGGTTAGGTTTCGGCCACTTGGAAGACGAGTTAGAGGGCACCGAGTGGAAGTTGTGGGTGCCAAGCTCGTTGACAGCCGGCTTAATAGCGAAGGATCATGTAGATGAGACGGCTGGTCATGGGTGTCGTGAAAACGCTCGAGACCTTACGTAGGCGGTTTTACTGGCCCGGCTTGGTTAGTCAGGTAAGAGATTGGGTGAGACAGTGTGTGACATGCAAGGAAGTCAAGGCACCGAACTTTCGCATGAAGGTATGTTTAGGAGAAGAGGTTGTGACCGAGCGACCATTCCAAAAACTATATATTGACAATCTGGGAAAGTATCCACGTTGGAAGCAAGGGCACGCGTGGAACTTCGGGGTAATCGACCATTTCTCAAAATTCACTTTATTAAAATTCACTTTATTTATGCGGGAGGCTACGGCTTTTAACGGAGTGGAGTTTTTGGTCAGCGAGCTTTTTCATAAGTTTGAAGGTCATCCACTCTGATAACGGACGACAGTTCATATCCAGTACATTCCAAAACATGATCTCAGCTTTCAACACCTCGCACATGCGCACCGCGGTCTACGCACCACAGAGCAATGCGAGCGAGCGAGTTAATCGTACCGTGTTGTCGGCCATCCGAGCGTATTTAGAGCAAGATCAGCGCGAGTGGGACCTCGACCTTCCGGAAATAGAGGTGTCCATACGCAATGCCATACACACCTCGACCGGGGTGACCTATCTTTGCCGT